AAATGGGAGAAAGTACTCAGCCCATAGGGTGGTGATATTAAAAACACAACCCTGGGTGGAACTCTGGGAGCTCTGGGGGATGCCTAGTTGTAGAGGTAGAGGGAACTTGATCTTTGGAGAACAAATAATCATTAAAGGAGTGGGAGAGATAATAGACCAGTGGTTCTCAAACATAAGCTTGCAGCCTAACTGCCCTGTGGGGAGGAGTGCTTACAAAATGCAGGTCTCTGGATATCATATCTGGATATTCTGATTCAGTAGGTCTGGGATAGGACCCAGAAACTTGCATTATAAACAAAAGATTTGATGCAGGTCTTCACTAAGAATCATTGCCCTCGAGAAGGGCGGGGGCGGTAGTGGAGCAAAAGACTGCATTGCTAAGAGATAACAGAGGATCAGTGGGATTGGGTCAGAGCATTATTTAAGTAAGGTGTCGCTGGCTCTTGAAGATGATTCGAGGAATGCCCAGTGGAGCCCACAAAAGGCCTGAAATGAGCGAAGTGGTGGTAGAAGGGTGGGTGGGTGGTGTGAAGCAGACATGCGCATCTGGCTAGTTCTCGCAAGCTGTTGAGCAAATAGGATTTACCCAAGCTCTAAGAGTCTCCAGGGATTCCCAGGACCCAGGTCCTGTTCTAAGTGAGCAAAGGCAAGGCCCATCAGCCTGTTCGAGGTGGCACTAAAGGATGTGCTTTTCAAATCTGTCCATTCTGGGTACCAGGAATCCGGGCCAAGGTAAACGGCAGAAGGGTGGGGCTGGTTGGGATCCGAGGATTGGGAACAGCTTGTCCCACACAGGAATCAAGGAGCGCAGCACGAGGAAATCGCGCCCCCTCTAGGAGGGTGGAGAAAGCGAGGTGGCCTGCCAACCCGGAACGGCCCTAGTCTCCCTGGACTCGGAGCTGCTTCCACTGCCGATCCGGCGAAGGGAAACCCTGGGGCTGGGCGCAGCACCGTCGACCCTTGTTCGAGGCCTCACTCACTTTGCGCGCGGAGGTAGAGGGAGGGGGAGAGGGAGGAGCGAGTGGCGAGCACTCCGCTCCCGTCCTCCCGGCCCGCCGCAGCCGGCGAGACGCTTGTCCTACAGCGCCTCCTCCTGGACGAGGCGCTAGACAGCAGAGCAAGGAGACCACCAGCCCTGGAAACCTGAGGCCGGGACTTCGGGAGGTGGGGCGGAGGTCTCCCTGCCACAGAGGCTCTTCCTACAAGGTCCCCTGGGGCGGCTGGAATGAGCGAGAGGGCCCTGAGGCCGCCTCTCATCCCTTACACCCCACCCCAGCACAGACTAAAACCTCGTGGCCCAGAGACGCTCGTCCCCCATTAATTAAGCGAGCCCAGGCGAAAGAAGCCCTTATTTGTTCATTTATTTATTTATTTGACTGCTTTTAGCCTGGCCGCTGCCAACCGCCCCCCCGCCCCCTCCCCCCGCCTTCCCCAGAGCCCTCGAACATGCTGTGCTGGCGTAACAGGATCCGGGGATGGTCGAACTGAAGGACTGGCCCGAAGTTTGGCTGTTTGAGCAGGCGCCAGAAGGAAAGGCCTTTTCCCAAAGCAGTAGCACCAGGCTGAAAAAAAATCTAGACCCTTCCCCGAGGGGCAAATATACACTCGTGTGTGTGTGTATAACAACTGGAAAGAAGAGTATTTCCTTTGGTCCCTATCTCGTTTTTGCAGCCTGTGTCTATCATACAGATTTAAATTGGGGTGAAGTGATAAGTCATGATGATTGGAAATGCAGCCAAAGGTCGAACTGTTCAGCTATACAGGGAAGGCTGAGATAAAGGCAAGATGAGTAGCGAGCCTTGACCGAGGGGGGATGGAAAGATCGGGTGTATCTTCCTGCTCGAGTCCACTCGCCCACTCCCCCCACCCGTGCTTGGCCGATGGAATCCCCGGGCTGGGTCATTTCACTGCACATGCGCTGGATGCCTGGCGCGCGTGTGTACGGAGGGCTCTGTGAGGCCATGAGCCGTGCAGGAGGCGGGCACTGTGCAGTGCGGGTGAGGCACGGTGCACCGCTTCTAGGCCTGGAGGCAGAGGAGCTTGAGAACCTCATCTCAAAGAAGCAGGAAGCATACTTTTCTTTTTCTGGAAAACCTGTATTAAAAGCCTCAACTGTCCTTTCTGATTTGCAAACCCTATTCCGCCGAACAAGCAGCATCTCCTCGTTGCCAACGAACACTCTAAACGTTGTCATGTGGATCAGAAATGTCACATCTAGGGCACTGCTTCCCCTGAGACGTTCTTCAAGGCGGGGAAAACCACCCTACATCCAGAGAGCACAACTTCTCCCTTATTCTGCAAAACTATCAAATCTAAAGGACCAGTCCCTAGAAAGAGGGCATCCGTTCACCCCATTTCCGAACACATGACCCTAAATTGAATTTCAATTGGAATTCTGAGTTCTTGGTGGCTTCTCCCCAGCTTCCGGTGCCCCCGCATCCCTACTCCGCTGCCTGGTCGCCGCACTGCGGCAAGGCCGTAAATACCTCTAACAGCTGCCTGCCAGCCCAGGGTGAAATACTGTCTTTGTTCGATTTCCCTAGCCTCTCGGGTTCAGAAAACAGAACTCTGGCGAAATGTATTTATTTGTAGAAACATCTGACGGGAAAATACATTTCGTTTTCAGCCCTAGTGGTTGGCTACATTTATCATTGCGAGCTTCGCTCTTTCTCCTGGTTCTCGAAGAGATCTGAAGCCCAGCTCATGGCCAGAACCGTTGTCACCAAGGCCGGGACATGCTATCGGCTCCCTGATCTATACGAGGACAGAGGTTTGGGCCAAGGACGCTGCGAGTTACACTTCCTGGCTTCTCAGCTCTTAGGGACCCAGCGTTTTAAAATTTCGGTTTGTGTTTTGTTTTGTTTTGTTTTTTTGTTAGGTTAACAGAAACAATGGGGTTATTTCCACCAGTGGCGATAGCTAGTCTCCTTGTGAACTAATGGCCCAAGTTCCTGTGATTTGCGGATTATTTCCCATAGATGCAATCGACCATTTCGTTCCAATAAGAATTAATGCTACCACGGGGCTTACAAAGAGCCCTTCAGTCTTCCACATCTGCCCATGACATCAACCTTTGCTGTGTAATCGGACCAGCCGCCAACCCAGGTTTTCAGTTACCCAAGCTTGCTAGGCTACAGAACCCAGGGAAAAGCAATGAGGCTCTGAACCTAGAGCTTGGCCATCAGGGCCACATCCCCACCCCGAACTTGGGTCCCATCCGACCTAGGGACTCTTCCTGTTCCGGATCTAGCCGGCAGGGCCTAGAAACCATGATCCAGGTGCCTGCTTTTCAATGGGGAATATCTTTTTACTCCAGTCAAAGAATTATCTCAAAGGCCATTGAGCTGTGGTAGAGAAACAGTTACAAAATACAAACACTCCAAATCAAAAACCAAATCACTCTAGTTCCTTATTTGTAAGTGATCAGAGTTAGTGATCCAGGAGAATTTGCAGGCATCAACTGGCCACAAATCGTGGACCTCCATTTTGAAATGAGCATGATTCCATCATTAATTGGAAAAAAAAATCTTTCCACAAAGATGACATTTTTTTGTTTTGTTTTGTTTAGAAACGCTTTTAAGGCCAATACTGTTATATTGGAATTTTAAGGGAACAGTAAGTTTGGATTTACCACTGGGTGCTTTGGGGACCATATCCTCCGCTTGCGCAGGCCAGTCTCATGCGCAATGCGGCAGATTGTCTAAAGGTTTCATTTCACAATGTTCATGAGGGAATAGGCAATAGGATTTGCGAACTGCATCCTCAAGTGCCATTCAAAATCAGTGGGAGAAAGTAGCTTTTTTCCTTCTGCAAAGGATTTTCTTTTATGCATATTGTTTCAGTTCAGTAGTTTTGAAGTCAAGGGAAGGATGTTGCAATGTAATATTTATTGGTAGGAGAGAGAGAGAGAGAGCGAGCGAGAGAGAAACCTATCAATACATTTAGAGAGCAAAAAGATCTACTCTTTTCCTACTCTGGCAAATAAGAAACACACGGTGTTTGAACACAGAGATGCCTTGTATTTCTGAAAGATCTATTGGTTTTTTTCCAAGACCTGCACCAGACATTCTGATACCATTACCTCTGAAAACATGCATTCGTTTTGCGATATAAAGTAATCCGAATTAACCTGACAGATTATCATATGTGGGAAGAACCTATCTTGAGTTGTTTAAAAATTTCTCTAAGAACTAGAGAAAAATTTAAAAATATTTAAAATTCCATCTCATACAACACAAGGCCCAATAAATCATCAACCAGAGAAATAAACCCGCATCAGTCACCAAAGCGTAGATTCAAACCAAGCACATCCTGGGAACACAGAATTCACCCCACCCCCACCCAAGCCCCAACCCTCAAAAAACACCTGTTAGCCTCCTAGGTACCACCGTAAAAACCACAGCTCTAAATAAAATGCCTTTAGTGACTCCCAGTAAAGTGGAGATGTTCGGGAGTAACCTGTCTACACACTTTCCCAGGGTGGGATTGAGGGGCTCTCCATCTAGGCAGTGGGATCCTGTCTGTGGCTACCCGTTTCTCAGAATCTCTAGAGGAAATACTATTACTCCCTTAGACTTCTGAACCTAGCTGGACCCCACCCCGGACCCCAGGGGACGCCCTAACAACGAAGTGATTGGGGGAAGGGGCTTAGACAACGACCCCTAGTTCCCTGGGAAATGTAGGGGAGCAGGTGGACTCCCCGAGCTGCCCAAGGGGGTCGGCGCCTTAGGCTTCTTGATGGAAAGCTCGGGCGCGGGGAGGAGGGACTCTTACCCGAAAGCTGCCTTGCTGCAGGCGGCGGTCGGTCCCGGCGGCTGCTGTAATCCACTAGGCGCTGCCCTGCGGCGCGCACTCTCCGCAGCAGGGACTCGCTCATGTTGGAGAAGAAGCCGCGTCGCAACCGCGCGGCTGCAGTCGCCCCAAGCAGGCCAGTTGCTCCCGGCAGGCGGTATCGGCGCCGGCGGGGGGCTCGGCGCCTAGGGCCCCTTCCAGGCCTTCCCCCGCCAGGCTCCCCACCAGCTCCGGAGGTGGTAGCGGTGCAGACCGAGTGAGCTGCGGTGGGGCCAGGGCGGAAGCCGAGTCTGCCGCGGACTCCGCAATCCCGCAGCCGGCGACTGGAGCCCACCTCTGCAGAGACAAAGGTTAGAAAAAGACGGGGTGAGGCTCTGGGATAGCAGAATGCGGGGGGAAATTCGCCTGGGAAATCAGGAAAAAGGCCGTGAAGGAGAGCGGCGCCTGCACATGACCAGCCGCAGCCAATGACGACCGCAAATAGGTCATAAAAAGGTCTATTACCAAGTTGTAAATTTTCTTCAAACAAAAAGGAATTTACTGCAATTCCTTGCGGATTTTGCACATACAGCTCGCAAGCGCCATGTTTTTTCCTCTCTTGCTTTCTCTCTCCCCCGCCTCCTCTCTTCCTTCTCCTCCTCCTCCTCTCTCTTTCTCTCCATTCTCTCTCTCCTTCCTCCCTCCTCTTTCTCTGTTCCTCTTCACCTTTCCCTTTTTTCTTCCCTTCGTGGTTCTTCCCTCCCTCCCCCACTTCTCTTTCTTTTTCGAGGAATTTGTGTGTGTGTGTGTGTGTGTGTGTGTGTGTTCTTTTCTCTGGTTTGGCTCAAAACCTCTGCGCAGTTGGCCATTGAGAAGGAGGGAAAATGAACTCAATGTACTGCTCACGCTCTGGGGAAGCGATCCCCACAGCAACATTCCCCCATTTCTTATCCTCTGCCAGGCACTTGGCTTCTCCTCCCGTCCTCTCAGGAAAAGGCCTGTCCCCAAAGCCAGTCAACCACTTTCGGTTTTCTCCCCTCCCACTCATCTCCATGCAAGCTAACCCCAGTGATCTTGGGAAGAAAACCCACCCGGTCTCTGCAGGCCAAGAAAGTGTGCCCCCCAACTCCAACGTAAATTGGGGTCCCTCCGATTCCCTGGAGGTTCTGCCGTAGGATAATCACCAACCAGCTTAAAGGCTGGAAATGGTTTTAGGTACTTGTCAATCTCATCGAAATATGCTTTTGAAAGCCCACTGCCTGGTCTTTCTCCACAGAAACATCTTACTGGACAGACAGGGTGGTGGTTTCTGGATTCCTTCTGAAACTCCTTGGTCTATGTCCCCCTCTAGAACAATTCTCATTGTTATGGAATTTAATTCTAGTTCTTCCCTCTCTCCTTGACCCCAAATGTTTCCCCATTGAAAAATTTGTTCAGTGCAATACTGAAAAGAAAAATTTGTTCAGGAGGAGTGACTTCCTCAGATCAGCCTAGAAAGAAGAATAATTCATTCTCCTCAAATGCCAGTGTCACATTCCCTTTATATTTTTCACAGGAACTGCTCTGGAGAACTCCCCCTGAAGGTGAATGTCCTTGGCTGGCCTCCAGCATTGCCTTCATGGGCATAGCCATCCAGCCTTTAGAACCTGCCTGAAAGAAGTATCACCACCCCCCATCCTTTTAAAGACAGTATCTTTGAACTTACAATACTATTTTACAAATATTTGCACTGGATATCTGTGTATAAGTTCTCTGCTATTAACATCTTCACACCCAGTAAGTACCGAAGTGTATGTGAACTGAAGCAGGAAGCAGCACAGCACCCTCTGGAGCAAGCCATTTGTTATCCCTTGAAAAAGTTCTGATGACCTTGGATGTTTTTGATTAAAGGACTTTTGCTGCCATCTGTCAGCAAAAGTCATATTCTTTCTAGAAAAAAATCCAGTGGGCCCTAACTTTGCTAGAGGAAACCACAGCAGCAGCCAGGGTCCATTAAAATGTTCTCTCTCCTTCCATGTTCACCCCCAGATGCCCAAGGATTCAGCAAACGCCGGGGAAGCAGAGAACACAACAAGCTTGGATGTGAAATAGCACTGCCTTTTGTATTGGAGAAGAAAACAATATTTTAAATTACACAAGCAGATGGGGCTTGTGAAGACTTCACACTGGTATACTGGTGTGTGTGTGTGTGTGTGTGTGTGTATGGAATTGAGCAAAGAACTTGTTCAATTCCAAAATTTTCTGAGAAGTAATCGCAATGGTCAATTTGCCTCATTATCCTCTCCCTGTCTTACCAAATAAAAGCAGAGCTTTACTACTCTCCTTTTCAGCTTGGGGAATGAGGGCCGTGAAGAGACTTTGCACTGAAAAAGCAGCCATATTTGCATTTACTCCACTTGTGTAGAGGTAAGCGATGTACTGGGCTTTGTGGAACCTCACAAAATGGCATCCTTGAACTGACTTCTCTGAAAACTACTGAGACCCACACCCTCTTTTGTGTGTTTCTGGTCGTTGCAAACCAAGAGCCTAATCACTCAGAAGGCCTGGTTCTTTCATTCAGTGTTAACATTGGAGAGTACTATTTTCTCTAAACCATTTACAGACCTCTCCAGGCAGACCTCCGCAGTCCAGGGCTGAAAAGTGCTGCCTGGGATGGCAAAGCATTCTCTGAAGGTTTATGCAAATTTCTGCAGCAAAAAAATGTTCGCTTGTTGCCTCAATGCTCTGATGTTGACACATTTGAGCCAATTAGAAGGGCACCTTGTGCGCAAGTCACTGCCAGTCTGTCTGCATGAAACACGATAATGGGGGTGGGCATGTCTAGTCAGTTTAAGAAAGAAGGTGGCGAGTGTGTGTGTGATGTGTAATTCCCCAAGGTCTTTATTTGAACACAAATCTATGCTCTTTCCTAGCTACAAAAGGAAACATTTACCTACATTTATAATCAACACTCTGGGCATGTGTGTAAGCTATGTATACATCCAAATTTATATTCTAAAATACACCAGCTATTGCAACAGTCTTTGTCTGTACATGAGCTATGAATTTACCATGGTTTAGGGGTCCAGTGGGGCCAGAAGGTACGCTTCCAGACCAGCACAGAATGCTGAAGAAATGACATTTTTACCTACCCTGCCTTCCTTGATTTCCATACCCACCCAATATATTAGGGCTCCCACGTGAGTCTTGCCCAAATCATTTCAAGGTTCTAAAAGCATTTGGTGAGCATCCCTGAGCAGGAGACAGCCAGTTTTGCTAATATACAAAGGAGTCCCAAGTCCCTTAAATCCATGGCAGCTGGATTTCAGCCAGCACTGGTCTTTGGATGGTTTACACTGGAGGCTGTGTTCCCCAGCCTCTTGGCCCTTGGCATCCTTACTCTGTATCAGCCGACAGCAGAGTCTCAAGCAGTGCACAGAGCAAAACTTTCTCAAATCCAGCATGTGCATTTACAGCTGTCTCTTGGAGTGCAAATATTTTAAGTCTTGGGCCACCTGTGACTTAAAATTATCTTTCTTTGTTCAGGTCAATGTCACAGCCATCATTTCTTTCCAGTATGGAAAGCCAGGTGGTGCTTTCCTTCTGACCTGGCCAGTGACAATATTTCTGTGGCCCAGGAAGCCACAGGCAAACGGCCCAAAAAAACGCGACGGGGTGACCCTGGCCCAGAACTATAGGATTCCATTTTCTTACCTATGTAATAAAAGCAACTCTGGAAATAAAAATGTACCCCTCTGAAAACAACATGGTTAGAGAAAGCAGAGAGCTTTTTGATGATCACCTAATAAAGGTGCTTTCCCTTTTTCGGGAATGTTACTTTACTTGAATTTCTCCTCTATTTTCCCGGCTCCTCTTCCTTGCCCGCCCCCCACTTTCCCCTGTAAAATGGCAGCTGGAGGAGCAGCCTCCAAGGGAAAATGGATCTCTCGTTAATAACAGATGCCAAAACCCAGTATCAACACTGGCTCAGTGGAATAAGCTGTGGTGTAACCTGGACTCTGGGTCGTCTCCCACTGGGCCTACAACTTGAGTCCTTTAAGAGGTTCAAAGCTCTCAGAGTATCTTAGCAAGATTATTTAGAGCAACATAGACTAGCCAGCCCTCTCACGAAAGAGAAGGGGCCCCCCCGCAGGATTTTTTTTTAACAGCTCGAGATGTGTGTAACTCCACCCCTTTCTTATTAAACAGAAGCCTAGTGACTCAGAGAAAACGGGTATTTGCGGCGCTCAAAGACACTAACTCTAGAAAGACATTCATTTCTTTATTAAGGAGCTAGAGACATTCTGGAGTGGTTGTTTACACTCAGATTTTTCTGCGTTTGCTCTCAGGGCTTGTTTCAAATAGGTGAGGCTATTGCTTTTCTGAAGAACAGCAGAGGATGTACCAACCGATGTCGAACACAGCAAGCTGGTTTAAAACTAGCAGGCAAACAGAGCAAAGGCAATACAAATAAATACGGCATCTACTGAAAAAAAAACACAACAGCAGCCACGGCATACAGAGCTAGAGATTTCAAGAGATTACAAGGGCGGTTCAAAATGAAAGCAAGTTAAGAAATGAGATACATTCTACAAGGTGACTTGCCAGAGTGAAAAGTTAATGAGTAAAAATGTCATAATTTTTCAAGTATTTATTCACTCTAGATTATTTAATTTGTATGGACTATAGAAAAATAATTGTCAACTTTGACATTGTCTTGAAACTCTTGTCACTGGCCCAATCTTTTCCTGAAGTTGAAGGAAGCTGCAGAGCTGGACTACACGTTACACTCTTCAGCTAACATGTGCTTTCAAATATTTGGCCCAGCCTTTTCCCCGAGATATTATATTTAGAAAATACACAAAGAAACTTCTTAGGAGTAAACAAAAGGCACCCGAACCATTCATTATAAAAGAAAGAAAAAGAAAATCCATAAATAATGCATTGTAATCAAATAATATAAAGTATTCTGCAGACATAATTTTTTAAAAAAATTAATAGACTCCTTTTAATTTACTCACCATAAAGATTAAATGTTCAAGTGCACTTGTTTGATTAATAAAGCATTTTATATTCAATTATTAAATGCTAATCATTAGGAAGTTTACGTTGTTCAGGAAATCACCAGCTCAGACATTAAAAACCATTATAAAAATATAGCTACAAGGTCAGTATCAAATTACCCTTCCATAGGACAGCTCAAGGACTGATGTGATACTAGAAACTTTTTAACACACCCAAATCCCTCTCAAAGCACAGAAACCTCAAGAGCAATGATATGAAGGTAGTTTGAAACACAGGTGAAGTCTTTTTCAACAAAGAAAATAGGTGGTGTCCACAGCATATGGTGATCATTAGTTTTAATAGTCTGTGGTAAAATTTTAAAGGTAGAAGTTAATTTGTCGGGCCTTCGGCTATGTCTTCCTCCAGCTCTTGGGCTTCCTTTTTGGTTTCCCCGTCCTTCACCTCCTGCCGGGAAACGGGAAATTTATCCTTGTTGTTTTCTTTTTTCCATTTCATCCTCCTGTTCTGGAACCAGATTTTTACCTGTCTCTCCGTGAGGGCTAGGGCGTGGGAAACCTCGATTCTTCTTTTCCTGGTCAGATAGGGGTTAAAAAGAAATTCCTTTTCCAACTCTAAAGTTTGGAAGCGACTGTAGGTTTGTCTTCCTCTTCGTCTACCAGGAGCTGCTGATTAAAACAAAAAAACAGGGGAAATAAACGTTTTAAAAATGTAATTGTGCCTCTGCATGTTGCTGGAGGTTTGTGGAAAGAGGGGTCTACAGGCTCCGATATATATAGGGTGTGCAAGCAAGAGGGGCAGAGAGAAGGTCTTCACAATTATTCTGTCCCCATCATCTTTACATGGTTTCTACTTTTTTTTTTTTTTTTAAGTCTGTATTACTTTATGAATAAGAGCCACTGTGGCTACAGAAGGAAAAGGAGGGGGAAACGGAGAGGGACGGGTAGTTTTAAAGCCCGAACGTGAGATGAAAGCAGATTTCTCCCCCTCTCCCCTCTTAAAAAAAAATTGCATCCCAACCTTGTGGTCTCATCCAGGGAAACATTTGAGAAGGAGACGAGCTCTGATTTAAGTGGTCTGGGTCCTCGCCAATATTACCACTGGACGATTTACAGTCAGGATATTGTACCAGCTCGGCCTCTTGCTGGGTCGTAAAAATCGGCTGTCTCTGTAAGTTATCGTATCCGTAAAACTTCGCGGGCTCCGCGTGACAAGCAATCCCGCCGCAGGGGGGAGGCGGCGGCGGAGGCAGAGGATGCGGAGGAGGAGGAGGGGCGGCCTTGTAGGCAGCGGCCGGGCTGCCCCCGCCGGGATGGAAGTAGTCCTGGCCCGGGCCGCCCCCACCACCGCACCCTGGCCCGGAGGGCGGCGGGGACCGGTGCGGGTGCGCGTGCGCCTGCGGGTGCGCGTGCGGGAAGCCGGTGGCGCTGTTGCCATAGAGCTGCAGGGCTGCTGCGGCAGCCGCATGACGGCCGGCGACCTCGGGCGCGAAGTGACAGTCGTAGTAAGTGGGATTGATGGCCTCGCCCGCCGCCGCCGCGGCCGCGGCCGCCGCCTTGTACTTGGAGTACAGCGGGTTCACGAAGTACGAACTCATTGGGGCGGCGGCGGCGGCGGCCCGGGCGGTGCTAAGCAGGCAGGGAGCGCGCCTCTGCTCGGCCGCACTGCCGCGGGGGCCTCTGGGACGGCTGCTCTCGCCGCCTGGGCCGCCGGACTACCTCGCTGCTGCTGACGCCCGCGCGCCCGCGTCGCTTCTGAGGCCGAGCAGCCGCGGGCGCTCAGCTACTGGGCGCTCATGCCCGGCTCCTGCGCCCGCCGCCTCGGCCTCGCGCCGCCTCCCTCGCGGGTCGCGGGGCCTCGCCCAGCCCCCACGCGCCGCCGCCCTCCCGGCCTTTCCCGGCGCGCCCCGGCTCGGCTGCAATATAATTGCCGACGCCCTGGGCGACCTGCCCCGCTGCCTTCACTATTTCCTCTCAGGCACCAGGAGGGCCTGAGCGCACCGGGGCAAGAAAAAAAGTGCGCCGGCCCACGGGGACACTCTGGCCTCGGTTTACAAACCCCCGCTCTGGAGGGAAAAGAAAAAAAAAAAACCCTCTGCCCGCCGCCACCTCTCACCGCGCCCCCCCCGCGCCCTCCGCTCGCCGCTCTCGCCCCCGCCGCCGAGGCTGCCGCCCCGGTGCGCACAGGCGAGGCATTTTCGCAGCACAGCACTGAACCGAGAGGCAGCGTGCCGGAGCGAAGAGCCCCGCGGAGGGATCCACGCGCACTTCAGCTGCTTCGGCCAACGAACTGAGAGCCGCTCCCGGCCTGGCCCGAGATGCCTCCGCCGGCCTTAAAGGGGGCCCATAAAGCCGCACTGCCAAGGGCTCCTTGTGCCCCCGGGGCCGCGGGAACCCGGGCCGCAGCCGGCAGGGAGGGGGCGCGGCGGAGCTTTAGACTTGGGGGAGGCAAGGAGGCCACTTCCAGGAGGCTGCAGAGCAAATTACTCCCTCCCCGAGCTCCTAGGGCAGTCCAGCAGAGGTTGCCCGTGGCTGTTGCAGCTCTGGACAAACGGGCACAGCCCAGGGAACGTGGACAAGAGGTGTGACGGACCGGACCGTGCATTTGAGTTGGGGCATATCGAAGTGGTTGGATTAAAAGCCGCTAGTGTGGCCCCAGATCCTGGCGTTATCAAATCAAATCAAAACCCTTCTTTTCCAGCCGAGTGGGCTGTGGAAATGAGATGTACATTTACCCTTGACGCACCGCCTGCCTGGCCGAGGCTCCCAGGTTAATTGATATTTAATGGAAATCATGCCCATGAATATAGTTTCCGTCATTTCACCCTTGATAGACGTCAGCCTTGAGCGCAGGGGGAGGCTGAAGAATGCAGGAGGGGGCATTAGCCTTGCTGAGAGAGTGAATAGAAGAGCGGTTAGAAACGTTCTGAGGCGGGAAAGCGGGGCTTACGGTGGGGAGGGTGGCATTTCCTCGGGCAGGAGGCGGCTCCCGGGTCTTAGCCCCAGCGCACAGCGGACCAGGGCGGGCTGCGGTTCCTGGAGGAGCGCTGGGGGCCGACGCCCGCGAATCCCCCAGGAGGGCCGGCGTTCAGATCGCGCCGGTTCCAGGCAGCTGCAGGCGGCCCATCTTCTGCTAATGATCCTAGTTCCTCTGCCAAGCCTGTGAAATTACTGCCTAGAGAGCGCGCGGGCCTCAAAGTTACGAATTTTTCCCAAAGCAGAGAAAGAGAAGGCTCAGCCTAGTTTGTGAGCAGTGATGAAGAAAAGCAGCCCAAGTCATGTGGGCCAGTCGAGTGTGAATCGACAAAGTATTCCTGATTTTAGCAGCTCTCTCCCAAGCTGCCTGGCTCCCCCACGCACTTCCCACCGCCTCCCACACTCTTCTTTTCCCTCTCTGCTCCGGTTTCAATGTCCAATAAATGTAGTGGTTATCTGTTGTGTGTGTGTGTGTCTTCTCCTCTCCTGCCCGGCCTTTTTCGTGGGCTCTTTGGATAACTGAGTCCCATTTCCTTCGGGATAGGTACAATGTCGTGAGGGCGCCAGGCCCACAGCCTTGGAAACAGATCTCGAAGGCGCCCCCACTCAAGCTAAACGCACCACGCCGGCTTTCCACACCAAATGCAAATTTCCGAAAACCCCAGACGGCCTCTGAGACGCCGCAAGCCGGCGAGCGATTTCAGCTACCCCTCGCTCCTTGTGGGATGGCCCAGCCTGCGAGCGCGATCCTGGCGTGTGTCCGGGTGGACTGAAATATCATTTTTACAAATGGAGAAAATGAAGTCGAGATGAACAGACGTAGCGAGGTGATAATGTCTGACTCAATTATTTCTAATGGGAATGACTGACAGTGGTTAAGGTAAAGGAATCGTTAATGAATCTGGAGATGATAAAGACGTGCTTTATTTAATTTTAAATTAGTAGGGAGTGCAGACTTGAGGTGGAGAGCAAGGTTTTTTTTTTCTGTTTTTTTGTTTTTGTGGGTTTGTTTTTTTCTGCTGGTTACTGCCAAGTATAATAACTTTCGTTAAATCCGTAGGTGAACGAACTGATTCTGACAGTTAAGGATTTGTCCTTCAACCTTGCAAATACCCAATTAAAAGATTATTATTGTCAATAAAGCCTTGGAGCTACCTTTGTAATTGTGCCCCTTTTTTCAGTTTGGCATATGTGTGTGTGTGTGTGTGTGTGTGCGCACGCGCGCGTATTTGAACCCTGGATAAAGGAGTGGATTTTGGAATGGAATGGGGAAAAAATGAAGGAGAGAGTCAGGATCTCGACAATACCAGGCACCTTCTAGAACTGCGTGATTCCTCGGGCGGGGGGGGGGGCGGGAAAGACGAACACTAGAATATTCATTCATACATATTCAGGCCAAATTTAGAAAACATTACAACACAACATTTCCTCTTTGAACAAAAAAAATTTTAACATGTATTTAAGCATTCCGTTTATAATATGAGTAGAAAAAGAGCGCGATTACCTTAGTAAGCAAAGATCTATGCTATTTACAGGTTTCTGTTTTGCTAGAATTACTTTATGTTTTGTAGGCTCAGCTGTGCCATAGTCTAAATTTTCTGAAGCACTGACTGAGCCAAAATTTTATGCCCAGCAAACACGAAGAATTTAATAGTGCACCTTGTTTATTTTTGTTAAATTTATCCTAATTTGGAATTAAAAATAAGATTGTAAATATTTTTAATTAAAACCTTCCTCCGCAGCAATTCAAGCTTTACGAGATCAGAAAGTGGAGCAACAGCGCTCTCTAGTGGCCAAATGCCACCTCCAGTCCACTGAATTTAACTTCCTTTTATTCATGTCAATCCAATTCTAATCTTGTTCTTTAGTTTGGGGCTTGGACTGCTGACACTAATAATGCTTCATTCCTGGGACTGTCAACAAGTGAAGAACAGCAAACAGGGGCTCCTGTATGCCTAGGGTATTCTAATGTGTGCTCCCGACAGCTTCCAGTAGTGCCTTTTCTAAAAGCTTTCAGCCCTTCTTTTGCCAGATACCTAAGGTCCCCATGCTGTAACCGCCCAGCTGCGCCTTTAAAAACAATTATACGACAGGCTAGATTTAACAAAACCTACAACTTTCTAAATATAAACTGCCAAGAGGCTTTTTCTTTTCCAGAGGAACCAGACAGTTTGGCAACCAAGAAATTACAGAAGTCAAGCATTGTTGTGTTTTGTTTTTCTCTCACAGCTGTTGCTTTTAGGATTAAATCATGAATATTTGCTATTTTAACAATGTAACTTTAATGCTTTGGACTCACTTGGCTGGGCGATTTTGGGGGGAATCAAAGCCAAATCAAAAGCTTTTTGCTGGATCTCTGAGTGGCTGTCTGGAAAGTCCCTTTGGGTTTGTGTTCGTTTGAATTTCTACAATGAATGGGATTTTTAAAATGTGTATCAAAAATCATTGAACTGAATTGACTGGGAATTTGACTAGATTTTTTTTTTAAATATAACTATTCAATTGGCTTAAGTGTTTCCTGTTAATCTTCTTACTCATCTTCAAAAATGCTCTTGTCCAGTTTAGGTGTAACAATCATATTTTTAAAAAGTGAATAGACACAAATCCCAACAATCTTTTTCCTTCAAAGTTTGGAGTGGAGGGACGGAAATTCTGAATAGGCATCTAACTTCATCTTTTCCCTCCAGCCACACTTCTGGGAGACTCTTACCTGGGTAAATATCCTAAGATCACTAATTGCTGGACCCCGAAATAACAGGCCAATTTTTTTTTCTCCAAAGAACCAGCTAAACTGTGGTCATAGTCAAAATATTATAAAATCCCACCACATTAGGCTAATTCCAGCACCCGGTTTATTTTAAAAATCAGAAATTCATCACTTCTTCCTTACTAAGTCTCTCATGTTTACTTCCTAGGTGCTCACACCTCACCCGGGGGCTCCCATGCCCCTGCCTTCTTGGTCCAACACAGTCTTGTTTATATTTTATTGTCTAGATTTTAAGACCCAATTTTGTCTGCATTTTTCCTTTCCTCCCACAAACACAAACATCAAAATGAGATGGTTTCAAAGCAAAGTGCCGGGCCTGTCGTAAACTCATTACCTCCAGACGTCTGGCCGGCTAGATGGCTTTATGACACCTTGGCTCTTCCTGTTTTCAAAGAGCCCTAGGTACCGGGCTGGCCACAGGGGCAGGGGTACGCAGCACCTTCTGCCGGATCTGGGTCTTGGCTTTCCCTCCCAGCCCCCTCTGCTTTCTCTTCGAGTCCCCTCTTTCATCAGGATCCCCCAAGATCTCTGCTACCGCCCCCACCTTCTGCCCAGCGCAGGCCACCCGGCGCCGCTGCCTCTTCGGGCTGCAAAGGCTGTACTCACCCGAACCCTCACTTACAATGACCTTCATTTTAGACCCTGAATGCAGCCCCCAGAGGGCCAAGCTGGGGGCTAAACATACACAGAATCTGGGTGGGGGGGAAGGGGCGGTGGGTTGGAGGTGGCTGGGGAGAAGAGCCTTGACCATTTTGATCGCTAAGGTCACTTTGGGGCTCTGGTGGGGAGGGGCAGAAGCTCACAGCCTGACCGGCTGGGACCTCTCGGAGCCAGCCAGCCTGGCCGAGCTGGGGGAGTTGATCTAGAGTGCAGAGTTGGCTTTTCCCTTGTTTGGAAAGGGGTTTAGCGGCGTGGGCTCCAGGAGCCAGGGAGGGCTATGGTGCTTTGTACCCAAGCCCCAGCCTGAAAGTTCTTGGCTTCTGGGGCCTGCTGGCTCCTCTGGGCGTTGCTGCTAAGCTGAACTGTGCCCAAGCACGGAGTTCCCAGAGGAGCTGGAACAAGGCTTGGGGAGGCACCAACATTCCCCCAGGGTCTGTGCTCTAGGCCACACCTCCCCACACAAATGGAAGCTCAGAGACACATCAGAGAGATCTGTCAGGTGGAAGGGCCAGGGATTTTTAACAATGTCTCCCTCCCAGGGGTGGAGGAGAAATATCCCGAGTGTGATATTTTGCAGAAAGGTAGAAAAAGCAGGCACACAACGTTTAGGGCCAGCGTCTGGGCTCCATTGATCAGGTCAGCATTTATTAGTAGGAAGCAGTAACATTTACAACTGGTCCTCGGACAGGAACTGGAAGAGCCACCACCCGCGGCCGCCCACGCGAGCCCAGCCCTCAAGGAAGAGAGCCGCACGTCCAATGCACTGAGGTCGAAACCCCAACCCACCCGAGGCCCTGGGCTCTTCTCTAGGCCTCACTGAAGATCTCCGCCGAGGTGCAGCGGGCTCCCTGAGGAAAGGGGGCTTTTGAAACTGCTGGGCAACCCGGCCGGCCTTCAGCAGGGGCTTGCAGCAGGGGTGTCCGCACTGTTGTCGCTCTGCCTTCATTCTTGGAAATGGGGCGCGCTTGGCCCCTGTTTGGGCAGTGAAGGGGGTGGGGGGACTAAACTACAGCACTTTTCAGAAATATGGGGGACATTTACACAAGAGAGGGCTCCCCAAGCCAGCGTGCACTCACAAAATATAGCATTTCCTAAGGAACCAATGGAGCAGGAAAGGGAGGGTGTGGGATAGGGTGAAACCCCAAAGCCACTTGGTTTTTCCAACACATAAGCGAGCAAATAGAGTCCCCCAAATACCTCACAGAGACCAACCACACAGTCACTTCTAACTGAAAAAAAAAAGAAAAAAAAAAAAAAAAAAGAAAGAAATCCAAGTCGTTGGAGAGTTTCTGGAAATCAAGCACCCACAAAGGAAAAAAAAAAAAAAAAAAAAAACCAAAAAACAAAAACCGCTGCCTTTGAGCGCTCCCGCGAGCACCGCACCGGGTCAGTCTCCTTTGGGGCATTTCTCTTTGCTCATCTTTTTCATTTTCATCCTACGGTTCTGGAACCAGATTTTGACCTGTCTCTCTGTTAGGTTGAGAATCCTGGCCACCTCGTAGCGCCGGTCCCGGGTGAGGTACATGTTGAAGAGGAATTCTTTCTCCAGCTCAAGCGTCTGATATTTGGTGTAGGGACAGCGCTTTTTCCGGGTGGAGCGAGCGTGGATCCAGTTCGCTGCGGGGTTGTCTACAAAGAGGGGGGTTTGGAGACGGGGAGCGAGGGGCGGAGAGGAGGCAGGGGGAGACGACAGGGTGGGGAAGAGAGGTCGTTAAATTAATTTCACCAAGGATGGCCGCTTTTCACAACTTGGGGGGAATTATCATAAAAGCCTTAATGCCCGCGCTGTTTACCGTACAAACCGAGCGCCCAGGGTACGTGGTTATGGGGAGCTTTTTTATGGATGCGTGTTGCTCGCCTAGGCTTGGGTAGGCGTCTAGACGTTTTTATAGGTT